TCAGTAGAGTGCTGTGGTGTCATAGCTCGTAGCAGTCTCAGAACTCTTGGGCTCAAGTGATTCTATTGCCTCAGCCTTCCAAGTAGCTGGGACTACAGGTGTCCACCACAACACCTGGCTGTTTATTTTATTTTTTAGAGATGGGGTCTTGCTGTTGCTCATTCTGGTCTCAAACCTGTGAGCTCAGGCTCCATGAGCCTTTGCTTCTCAGGGTGCTAGGATTACAGGCATGAGCCATTGTTCCTGGCCACTATACCTGATATTTATTTTTTAGTAAATACCATGAAAAGGGATTCAGGTTATGCTACATTTAGGTAGTAGGCTATATTTGGTCCTCATTAGCTCACCTTGAATGGCACACCTCTCTTTGTGGACATGTTATTTAAAACTTTTAGGGCTGGTGAATCATATCTATAATCTAGCACTCTGGGAGGCTGAGGCAGGAGCATCACTTGAGCCCAGGAGTTCCAGACAAGCCTGAGGAAGAGTGAGACCCCCTGTATTGAACTACAAATGGAAAGATTAGCTGGCCATTGTGGCAGGCGTCAATTGTCCCAACTACATGGGAGACAGGCAAGAGGATCAATTTTGAGTCCAGAAGTTTGGGTTTGTTGTGATGATGCCAGGTCCACAGAGGGAGACTCTCTCTCATATAAATAAGAAAATACACTTTTGTGGGGGAGGTCAACAGAATTTTAGCAAGCAGTTTCAAGGATTTTTAGCCATCCTAAAGCCTGGACATTAGTGGCTTGTAAAATCGATTTCTTTTTAAAGGGATTCAGAAGCAAGCATGCAGAAAGTTGTTCTTGAAGTTTTTCCATTGTAGATCAAAAACTGTCGAAGTGGGTGGTGCCTGTGACTCAAAGGAGTAGGGTGCTGGCCCCATATACCAGAGGTGGTGTGTTCAAACCCAGCCCAAGCCAAAAAAAGAAAAATGTCGAAGTGAATAAAACCTAACAACTTGATTGCAGTTATAATGAGGCTACAAGTTTAAACTGAATTTGGTGAAACCAACATTGTATGGAGGAGGGAGTGATTTTATGATTCAGGATAGCTAAGTTTTTTGGGTTTTTTTGGTTAGAGTGTCACTATGTCACCCTCAGTAGAGTCTCCCTCAATAGAGTGTGATAGCGTCACAGCTCAGAGCAACCTCCATCCAACTATTGGGCTTAAGTGATTCTGTTGCCTCCCAAGGAGCTGGGACTATAGGCGCCTGCCACAGTGCCCAGCTATTTTTAGAGATGTGGCCTTACTCTGGCTCAGGCTGGTCTTGAACCTGTGAGCTCAGGCAATCCACTCACCCTGGCCACCCAAGTGCTGGAGTTACATACAGGTGTGAGCCATCACGCCTGGCCTAATTTGTCCATATTTTTTAAGCCAAGGAACTGCTATGGCATACAAATATATTTCAGATATTTATGAGTAATCAGTTATTCACTAAAGTACTTGTATCTACTTCAGTGTCATTATTGAAGCTTACTGTTAATGAGGAGGGTTTTTTGAGACACAGGGAACATGTTACATCTCATCTCTTACAGTCAGAATATCCATTTAAAAAGCTTTCTGTTGTAATTCTGTATTTTTAATGAAGTGCCATGTAAATGCTTTTAATTTGGTAAGTGGGCCAGAGATTCTTTGACTTAATATGATTACTAGATAATTAGTTTGGTTTTTTTTTTTTTGGAGGGGGGAGACAGTCTTCTTTCTCTTGCCCAGGCTAATATACCATTGAGGTTGCTTACCTCATAGCAACCTCAAAGTCCAGGGTTTTAGGTATTGATCTTCCTGCCTCAGCCTCCCAAGGTGCTGGCACTTCAGGCACCCCACTATGCCTGGGTAATATTTCCACTTTTGATAGAGTGGTTTTATCCTTGTTCGGGGCTGGTGTCACATTCCTGAGCTCACCTCCCAGGGGTGCTGGGTTTACGGGTGAGAGCTATCTACCCAACCAGATAATTAGCTATTACATCAGAAGAAATGTTTTTTAATCTCTTTCAAATGATATTTTAATTACCTTCTTATTCTGGCCAGATTTTATATGATATTTAACATTCCATTTTTTAGATAATGAACTTTTTGTTAAGACTTACACAGCCTAGGATTAATCACTAGGGAATCTGAAGCTATCTATTGCCTCATGATTTATTTCACAGGCAATCCCTGGTAGATTTGTCCTTAAATTAAATTTGATGGTGGTATAGAACAGATAACATTTGCCTATTACCCTCTCATGGCCTCTGTTCATAAGGAGGAGTGGTAGGTACTTCAGTTAGGGACTGCAGGTATAACTTCCAATGGGTTATATTGTAGGTTATTTCTTTTTTTTGAGACAGAGCCTCAAGCTGTTCCCCTGGGTAGAGTGCTGTGGCATCACAGCTCAGAGCAACCTCCAACTCCTGGGCTCAAGTGAGTCTCCTGCCTTAGCCTCCCAAGTAGTTGGGACCACAGGCACCCTCCACAACGCCCTGCTATTTTTTGGTTGCAGCTGTCATTGTTTTGGTGGGCCGGGGCAGGATTCGAACCTGCTACCTTAGGTGTCTGTGGCTGGCGCCTTAGCCATATGAGCCACAGGCGCTGAGCCAAAAATTTGTAGGTTCTTGAGTTGCTTATTTATTTCTTCCTATCCCTTTGATCCTAAGTGTTATAACAGTGATTATGGGTTTTCTCTTCATGTTTTCTCTTGTTTGGTCAAACATCTACAATAACTTGGAGTCTTTGAATATTTGAGAATTTGTTTTTTTGCTTGAGCAGCAATTAAGTTCTGTGTAATTAAAAGCTACTTAACCACTCATTTTTCTTCATTTGACCATAGTATTCAACTCCCATTTTGTGCACATTTCACCATTACACAGATTCTTTTTTTTTTTTT